CATCTAAATATTTATTAATAGAATATTATGTAATATTCTATTAATAAATATTTAGATGCTCACAGGGAGAGGTGCCAGAAATCCGAGTTCGACGTAATATTTTTTACAATAAGAATTATTTAGGATTGTAATATGTCATTCAGCATTAGGATACGTAAGAGTTTTCAGATACGCTCTTATTAAATTATTAGTCCATTTAACTCCTGATGTTATTAGTTTAGTATAGTTTACTATAGATTTAAAAAAAAAATCACTCCGGTGCGCATTTTAAAGGACTACATAATATTACGTATAAATTCACATAGAATTATACAAACACTTAAGATCCTAACTGGACCGTTTAAAGCACTTATTTCCTATAGATTGTATTTTTCACATATAGGATTCTATTACTATTAAATATTTAAATATTATGCATCGATATTTGTGTTAGTTCATATTGGCTATATTTCTTATTTCGTTTGATTTATTCTCAGAGCCTTACTTATATTATTATTTGCTCGTAAAATATTTGTAAAAAATGATTGAATATTTAAAACACTTTCGAAATCAATTCATTCCAATTTTTTAGACGATATTAAGCAACCCGAAACATATAAACAAGAGTTTTATTTATGATAATTACAAACCTTGGTTCGGAACTAGTATTTTCATTAGTGAAGGTAATGATATTAATATAAATATGAATGCATATTTTATTACTAAGTTTCGTTTTGGCTATCAAGTTTTCATTATATTGATAATAAAATAAATTTGTAATGTAAATAAATTTAATTTAAAATTAAATTAAAAGATTGTACCTCATCGTTTATTCCAATGCTTATTTCGAATCGTCATTTCACAATTGTACATTGTGTTGTTCATGTTTTAGGGACTAAGTGGCAGTCACAGCGAAAGATATTAACTCCTACATTTCATTTTAATATAATGCAACGATTTGTTAAGATTTTCGACAAAGAAAGCAAAAACATGGTAAAGTCCTTGAACAATGCAAAAGGCGCAGTTGTAAAAGATTTAACATCATTTATTAGTGAATACACGCTGAACGCAATATGTGGTAATTATAAAATTATACTAAATTTTCTCAATAATAAATGAATATAAATTCATAACTACACAGAATTTTATCTCCATCAACGAATAAGATCAAATATAATTTTCTTTAATTCAAAATATTGATATGCCCAGATATCGATGGCTGCAAAAATTACATATCGCTCGATACAGTATTATGTATTTGTGTAGCGATATTGTGATATAATGAATCCTTAAATAGCGGAAGTCATATAGTATCAACTTGTATGCACAGCAGATGCAGAGTCAAATGAGACCAAAGAATGACAGTTTTAAAACGTTTGAAAAATGATTTTTTTATTATGATAAGTAGTAAATTACTTCAAATATGTAGAAGAGTGACATAAAAACACATATTTATCATAGAAACAAATACCCATTTATTCATTTTCATCATAATTGAAAAAATAAACAATTCTAAATTCGCGGATCTCGCGAGACCCTGCGTCCGCCGGCGAAATATTAAAGTATGTGTGTGTGTGTGTGTGTGTGTGTGTGTGTGTGTGTGTGTGTCCGATAGTGTT